TAATGCTGCCTGAAACGTTTTCTTGTTAATAAAGTCTCTGAGATCACATTTAAAGACATTTAAAATGAATAAAACTATCAATAAAAGAGTGTAAATAAAAGAATTATCATTGTGAAAGTTTCACTACCAATCCAAATGTATTTGTGTTGATGAACTAACTGTACAGCAATGTTCCCGCTAAACTGCGCATGTGCGCAATTGCTCACTGCTGGCAAGCTCTCTGCGCACAGAAAATCTGCGTTACGCACAAAAAATTAAAATTAAAACTTTAACAATTCTGTTTTGCAGTGTTAGTCAGTGAGTGACTGGCTGCTCCCGTGTGGGATTAGAACGATGCCACCTTATCCCATAATCTAGCCAATGATGCGATTCACAGTCGTATATACACAGCTAATCAACGTCGTTGACAGGCTATGACAGCGTCCTTATGTGCCGACACCGGTGTTTTAGCTAGCAAAGCAGTGTGGCTGATGTGGAGTGAAGCCACGTTAATGACAACATGTACAACTATTGGAGATGTGAGCAGGACAGACGGAGCAATTGATGGAAAAAGTGTGGACTTTATACCAGTTTTTAAATTGTGTTGATAGGCCACGTAAAACCAGTTATCATAAAAATATTTGCAATGTTTGGTTTTCTTCCTGAATACTATCATTGTTTATATTTACTGCGGGAAGAAATGGTAAAAACAGCGTTTTATAAGGAAAACGCTTGAAAGCACTCTCCACCTGTGAGCAACACCAAAACCAAAAAACCCCACACCCTTTCCTATTGGTCGAAAAATGTACCATGTTGACCAATAAAAACATGATATGGCAACATGGCATTTAGTGTTTAGGAAGGGGGACGTTTTAGGAGTGATGGCTGTGTTTCAATGATGAGGATGTACACATCGTGGACAGGGAGGAACGCTGGTTTGAGCGCGGAGTCAAGGAGGCCATTTACGTGAAAAGGGAAAGACCATCTCTGAATCGAGGAGGGGGCCTAAGGGTACATCTTTTGCCATCTTACAATGCTGTGATTGCAGCCATTCCCCATGTCACGGTTCTGGGTCCGTGGGACCCAGTATTTTGAGTTTATTATGTTTTGGTGTAATTTTGCATCAGAGATTGTTTTCTTGTTCTCTTGTTGTGTTAAGGGTGATGATTATGTCTATTATTAGAGTTCCATGTTTCTGTTTATCTGGGTTTAAGATGTGGGTTTAGTTTCATATGTCATTTCCTGTCTGTCTCTTGATGTCGAGCCTGCGTGTGATGTTTTATTGTGAAGGTCTGTGTCTCATGTGAGTGTTCAGTTTTACCTTGGTCTCATCTTACTGATTGTTCCCAGCTGTGTCCACCACCTGTGTGTAATTCCCGTGTTTCTCTGTGTGTATTTAAGTCGTGTCCTCCGTCATTGTACAGTGGGGCAAAAAAGTATTTAGTCAGCCACCGATTGTGCAAGTTCCCCCACCTAAAATGATGACAGAGGTCAGTAATTTGCACCAGAGGTACACTTCAACTGTGAGAGACAGAATGTGAAAAAAAAATCCATGAATTCACATGGTAGGATTTGTAAAGAATTTATTCGTAAATCAGGGTGGAAAATAAGTATTTGGTCACCTCAAACAAGGAAAATCTCTGGCTCTCACAGACCTGTAACGTCTTCTGTAAGAAGCTTTTCTGTCCCCCACTCGTTACCTGTATGAATGGCACCTGTTTGAACTCATCATCTGTATAAAAGACACCTGTCCACAGCCTCAAACAGTTAGACTCCAAACTCCGCCATGGCCAAGACCAAAGAGCTTTCGAAGGACACCAGGAAAAGTATTGTAGACCTGCACCAGACTGGGAAGAGTGAATCTACAATAGGCAAGCAGCTTGGTGTGAAAAAATCAACTGTGGGAGCAATCATCAGAAAATGGAAGACATACAACACCACTGATAATCTCCCTCAATCTGGGGCTCCACGCAAGATCTCATCCCGTGGGGTCAAAATGATCATGAGAACGGTGAGCAAAGATCCCAGAACCACACGGGGGGACCTGGTGAATGACCTGCAGAGAGCTGGGACCAAAGTAACAAAGGTCACCATCAGTAACACACTACAATGGCAGGGAATCAAATCCCGCAGTGCCAGATGTGTTCCGCTGCTGAAGCCAGTGCATGTCCAGGCCCGTCTGAAGTTTGCCAGAGAGCACATGGATGATACAGCAGAGGATTGGGAGAATGTCATGTGGTCAGATGAAACCAAAGTAGAACTTTTTGGTATAAACTCAACTCGTCGTGTTTGGAGGAAGAAGAATACTGAGTTGCATCCCAAGAACACCATACCTACTGTGAAGCATGGGGGTGGAAACATCATGCTATGGGGCTGTTTTTCTGCCAAGGGGACAGGACGACTGATCCGTGTTAAGGACAGAATGAATGGGGCCATGTATCGTGAGATTTTGAGCCAAAACCTCCTTCCATCAGTGAGAACTTTGAAGATGAAACGAGGCTGGGTCTTCCAACATGACAATGATCCAAAACACACCGCCCGGGCAACAAAGGAGTGGCTCCGTAAGAAGCATTTGAAAGTCCTGGAGTGGCCTAGCCAGTCTCCAGACCTCAACCCCATAGAAAATCTGTGGCGGGAGTTGAAAGTACGTGTTGCTCGGCGACAGCCCCAAAACATCACTGCTCTCGAGAAGATCTGCATGGAGGAATGGGCCAAAATACCAGCTACTGTGTGTGCAAACCTGGTAAAGACCTATAGTAAACGTTTGACCTCTGTTATTGCCAACAAAGGTTATGTTACAAAGTATTGAGTTGTATTTTTGTTATTGACCAAATACTTATTTTCCACCCTGATTTACGAATAAATTCTTTACAAATCCTACCATGTGGATTCATGGATTTTTTTTTTCACATTCTGTCTCTCACAGTTGAAGTGTACCTCTGGTGCAAATTACTGACCTCTGTCATCATTTTAGGTGGGGGAACTTGCACAATCGTTGGCTGACTAAATACTTTTTTGCCCCATTGTAGTTGCTGGTCCGTCTGTGTAACCACCGTGTCTCGCTCGTGTGTTCACCCTGCTGTCCATCTCCTCTGCTCGTTCTCATTCTTGTCCAGGTTTGTGCTCTGTAGTTTAGTTGTTTCCAGTCTAGTTTAGTTCGTGCTCCATTTGCTGTTTGTCCTTATTTTGTGCTCAATAAACCACCCTCACTTCTCCACTACTGCCTGCGTTTGGATCCTCCCTCCTTCATTTCCTCCACACGGCTCCTCTCACTCGCCGTGACACCCCAACTCTCTGTGAATGGTACTCATGGCCATTGATCAGTGGGTTTTGGTCAGTGGTTGTTGATCAATGGTCATGAGAATTTGCATAATTAAGATTAAGGAACTGTCCTCCCAGCCCATTTTTCCTTCAGTGGGCTGGTTTCAGTCATTATGCAAATGTACTGTTTATAAGATTGGGGAAAGCTGCAGTCAGCTGAGACTGAAGAAGTCACTTGGATGAGTGACGAAACGTTTCTCCCACAAAACTACGTCCAGATGAACAGAATCAACCTTTGGAGATGTGAGAGATTTGCGACGTTTAGCTCAAATCTTGTGTAGTTAGTGTGTAGTGTAGTCAATAGTTTTGTTGTGTGTGTCAGAACAATGAGGCGACTGCTGAATGTTACAGGTGTTACAGGAGTGACACATCTCCTGTTGTCAGGCCTGTTGTTCTCCTTTATCTCATAGTGGACAGAAATTATTTTTGGAGTGGCACAAATAATTTGTGTGGCATCAGATTTGATGCAGAAGAGCTGATTGTTCTGTAAATAGTTTGAAATGTTTATTTTAAAAAAACGCCTTGGCTGCATTTCTAAGTAAACAGCCGCAAAAAACTTTGTTGTTTGCAAAACTCAGTAACTTTTTTTGCAGAAGTAACTATATAATTAATTGCCCAACATTGGTCATTATATACTGTATTTTGCAGACACAGAGTTACAGGACTCTCTCCCAGACCACAGACTCATAATACAAGTCAGAGCTTTTGTTAAAAAAGAAAGAAAGACAGAAAGTTGTGTTTTCAAAATTGGAGTTCAAGTTATTTTTACTTCCAATAGTGTTAACATACTACACGGGTCATGAACAAGATTTTTTTAAGTTTTCATTGTAAGTGGGCTAAAGCAGTTAATTAAAAGTAGTCTAACATAAATGTAAATTTATGTAATTTGATTATTTTAATAAACCATGTGACTTGGATGGATTTGATGCTGGCATGACCACAGTGCACACGTCTGCTGTTGCTCACAGTGGTCCAAGGGACCGCTCAGGGAGTTTGTGTGTTCGCTCAGATAAATGGCAAATTAGAGGGAACATTGCCGTACAGATACATTATGTTTTGTCAGTGATGTAGTAAGACATGAAAATGTTTATGAGAGGAGGCTGTACTAAGTCCTGCTGTTAAATAAAAGCCTCTGATGACCTACAAACATTTCTCAGTGTTATTCTAATTAAGGCCCATTGTAATATGTAAAATGCTGTGTCCTCAGAAAGCCCTGCTGCACTCACAGCTGCTCCACCATACAGCAGGCTGAATGCTGCCTGATGCTCAGCTCTATGAAACGTTTATCGATCGCTGTGGATGCTAATTTGCATCAAAGCGATAATAATTTTTGAAACTGTGTTTCTGCCTTTGTTTATTTTGACCCCAGAAAGAGTTTGTTTGAAGTTGGTTCACAAACACTTTTTAAAGACTGTCCACAGACACAGAATAAGAAACATTACACTCTAATATTGACAGTGATCACACATCCCACTATGACCCCTGACCCGTAAGGATCATGTTAGGTCAAGGTCAGGCTTGGTCTCTCTCTCGCCCGATCACGTCATCAGGAACGACCAAACGGATCACGTTTGTCAAGTGACGAAGGTGGGGGTGTGAGTGGGGGGCAGGCTTCCCTCGGCTGAGGCCTGAGGAGGAGGGATCAGAGCGCAGCGGGTGGAGCGGGTGGATGTTCTGAGTTCAGCTCCGGCTGCGCGCACTTCTCCAGCTTCCCCCTCGCCTCCTCCACCTGTCTGGCCCTTTCTCCGGCTCTCTGCGTCGGACGCGCATCGCCTTCTGCGCGTCCCCGCGGGTCTGCGCTCCTCGGTGCTCGTGGCTGTGAGCGCGGAGTGGAGCAGAGTGACCGTGGGGATGTGGTGACATGCTCGCGCAGGAACGGTGAGTGAAACGTCTCGCTGTGTTCTGCCGTGACCTCCGCGCGCGCACGGAGGAAGCGCGCAGGGATGACGTGTGTGAGGGAGTCGGAGCTCTTTGGCCGTGGAGCGATGTTATGCTCAGATTTCTGCGAGTTTCCGTGTGAAACGCAGACGCGATCACGCAGCGGGGATTACTCACCTGTCTGCGGATACTGATCGGTAACGGACTGTGAGTGCAGCGGAACCGGATCCTGTAAGTTAGCGCGTCTGAACTGCGTGTCCCTGATTGTTGGTTCTGAGTGTGGGTCCGTTTGGATTCGCGTGATTTGGGGAGTGTTGGGTTGATCCTGAGGTGACACATTCACCTGCTTCTACCTGCAGACTCTTCATGTTGAATGAGCAGAGGGTGTGAGGCAATTTTTAAAGGACCCCCGTGTGCAGGCAGAGTCAGACTCTTCCTTCACTCTTGTCAAACTTGGACTTGGCTGTTTTTCCTTCTGCGCACTTTGCTGTTATCGTCGTTATTGTGTAACGTTTATGGCTCTGCAGGGGATTGGCACGACTCGATCAAAGGTGCAGGTTTGGAGTGTTAGTGTCAGCTGCTGTGGCCTCGGTGTGACCGGGTTCCTCCTCGGGTCAGCGCAGAGCCGCTCAGACCGGCTGATTCCCTTCCTATTCCAGTGTTCAGCCTTTTCTCCTCATGGTGATTAGACTGTGCCATTTCCAGCGAAGAGTCTTCTCCTCAACAGCTCCTCTTCTTACTTTAAGCTTTGTTGGGAGGTTTTAGTCCATCAGAGGGCAGAGTGTAGACTCGCAGCAGCAGAGACCCTACCCACCTCATCCACATGTTTGCGCTCCAGCCGCTGCTCCGTCTCGCTGAGTGTTAGGTGTTTGAGCGAGTGTGCTCAAAGCATTGAGAGTCATGCTGTGGTGGTGGAAGTATGGCAGCTGATCTTTTCTGTGATATTCTGTAAGTTGTTGTGTTGTGTTAGGATGACTCGCAGAAGATGAACTTTGGCTCAAACTATACGTATATAGTGCGCTGATGATCTTAACACAATGCCGAGTGAGTAGAGCGAGTGTTGTCGGTGTCATTTCCCCGACTTGTACAGATGCTGTAACAGCTGCTGCAGTTAGTAGGAAGGACTAGTGTACGTACATTTATTTGACACTCTTACTGTACTGTCTTACTAATTTCTGTACTTTTATACTTTTACTCCTTTCATGTCAGAGTTCTTAATCCTGAAAAAAAAAGAAGCTTTGAATTGTTGTCTGATTTCTAATCTCAGAGAAAAGTCGTCACATTCAGACAAACGAGAGGAGTGCAACTATCTCGGCAAAGCTGGGAATAAGACTGCAGCTACAGATCCCCAGAAATATGTCAGTGCATGAAAAATAACAGCAGACATGACATCACATGGATATGCATACATTTAAAAACAGACGTTTTTCACTGGGCCCTGCACTCAATAATTGTTTTATAATTCTTTGTCTGTTTTCACTGCCTTAAGGCACAATCAACCTACACAGGTTTCTATGGTTTCATCCTCTGCATTAAGCACATTGAGCTTGCTATTATGAAATGTGCTAAATAAATAAAATTGCCAGCAGCATTATACATTTTTCACATCACTATCGATAAATATAATGAAGTAAATTGATTACGTAAGTAAGTAAAGTAAGTAAGTTTCTGATAAATATAAAGGTTTCTTTTTACTGCTGGTTAAATGGTTTAAATCTTTATCTTCTGTCAGAAGTTGAACACGATAAAATGTAGAGCTGCATTTTAAAGAAAAATCAAAGACATAAAATAATTATTAATACAAAAAAGTCAAACTAAAATTGTTATTTTTGTGTGTCCAAATGTTTGAAATAGAGCCAAACAGGAAACATGTACTTATTTAAGAATCGTTCTCATGTAAATGAAGAAGAGCATGACACTGACACTCAAGTGTGGAGCAGCCCAAACATTAGCGCCTGTGCTCTTTCTCTGGCTCTGTCCCAGCCGCATGATTGGTTCAGCTCGGTGCTGTTCTCTTTGTCACCGGCTGTTTGTGCTGTCTGTCAGAACATGCATGGACGAGCTCTGTCCACTTTATATCGACTATGTTTCGTGTCTCTACTGCACGATAATGAATCTGATGGGTTTTTCTCTCAGCTCTGATGTTGGTTCACAAACACTTTATGAAGGCCCTTATGGAGGATAACACACAGGCTGTTAACAAATAAACATGCACGTGTGTGGTCATCTGAACAGTCTGCACGTCTAAGTGGGAAAGTTAGTGAATGCACAACACTGTGTCTGTACTGTGAGTGTGGCTAAAGTCTAAAGAAGAGCTTTAATGTGACCCGTTTACCATCTGTGTGACCAGAATGACCAAATGCAAGAGTCCAGCAGGTTGGATCAATAACTGGATCTCTCCCACACACACACACACACACACACACACACACACACACACACAGCATTTGCTGAGGATCTATAGCCGGTCGTCTCTGTGACGTGGTCGCTGTCTGCCTCCACCTGTGCTGTAGCTTCACACCTGGCAGGCTGACAGCAGAGCTCTTATGAGCCTAGCTGCATAATTAATTGGATTTAAATCATACTTTTGATCAATTACAACATTTGCATGTTGATGAGATGTATTTTCAGCCTCCTGGGCTCTGGATGCAGCGGTTACGTGTTTCATGTGTGAGACAGGAACAAACGCAGTAACTAAATCAGCTTCACTGTGAGGTGAGAAATCATAAAAGGCACACAGTTGTTAATAGTAATGATGATTTACGATGCCAATAAAAGTGACTGTAATTAACTGTGAAACCTAAACTGTGGCCCTGCGATAGGAGCTGGGGGGCTTCCTCCATATGTTGTATCGTGGCTGTGACATTCATTAACACAGCTGATGTGTTATCGCTCTGGCTGTTTATTGATATTCAAACCACTCGATGTCAGACGTCTTGTCAATTTTGCACAGTGAAAAAGAAACCTGGAGGATCTGCTCTACAGCAGATCTAAGAGCGTCCCTTACTGTGTCTCGATGTACGCAGAGTAGAAGCAACAGTCATTAACAGACTTTGATTAGTCGATTCCTTAATAAGCAACTCCTTTTTATTAGAGGTGGTGATTATTGAAAGACCCAGCAGCTGTGGGAGGGGCCACCACTTTGACTCATTAAACTCATGTGGAGTTTATCATAAGCACAGCTACCCGCTGCATCCACAGTGTCGGGCTCCAGGACATGGAGTGGGTCTGTTTTCTTTCAGTTGAGTTGTTACGCTCCCTAAATTTTTGTCTCAAAGCAACACAGCACATGAGATGCCACAATGCTGCTTTAAATAATGGAAACATTGAAAATACTCCCAAAGAAAAGAGCCCGGCTAAAACAAACGAAAGATGAAGAAGATCACGAGCCCTAAACTCGACCTGGAAACCAAAGAAGAAGAAACCAGAACAGTACTGTGGGTAACTCCCTCCACCGCAGCATCAACAGAAACATGACGGTGCTGATGGAGATCATGTAGCAGGAGAGAAGGACCAAGGTGCCGTGCTTTTATACACATCCATCAAGCTTCAGCAACCAATCAGCACTTAGAACAAATCAAAGGAGAGAGATAGAGAGAGAAAGAGCAGGTTAATATGGAGGACAACAAAAATCCCAGAAGACGATGAGTGGACCAATGTCCTGAGTATGATGGAGGCCAGCTGCTGGTGGCAGAACCTCCACTCAGACCTGCAGCAGTATTAACTATTAGCATCAGATTCAGTATTACAAACATCCAGTGCAGGTTAGGGTCAGTGTTGCACTCTCTGACAAATATATTCACAATGCACAATGACATACTGGTGTATGTCATTATGCTTTAAATTTGCAAAAGAAACTAGAAGAAGTTGGACCATAAAGAGGCATTTTAAAGTCCAGTAACTGCACAATGTTTAGATGAGATTAGATTAGATTAGATTAGATGAAACTTTATTAATACCTCGGGTGGGTTCCTCCGGGAAATTCAGTTTCCAGTAGCACGGCACCGACAGAAGTTGCATGTTACAGATACAATAAGGGGAATGAGAGTAAGGATATAAGCATAAATATGCCATATAGACTTAGAGCTCTATTGTCATTGTGCAGTTTCTTGCACAGCGAAATTGGGTAGCTGAACCACAAAGGTGCTAAAGTAAGAAGAAGAGAAACCAATATACAACGAAGGCGGAAAATAAATAAATAATTAAATAAATAGAATAAAATAAAAAACAGTGTATATGTATACATATGTGAGTGGAACTATATACATGGTGTATGCGTAGGAAACATTGAAACAGACTGGGACCAAAATAATTGCACATGAGCCAAAAATATTGCACAGAACATGGTAAGACTGAGATATTGCACATAGATGATCAACAGCAGTGTCAGGGTGGATGTGTTGGGGAAGTCTTTACACACTCTTAGTTTGCATTGAGAGTACAGAATATGTCATATGGATAAATAGGATTGCACATTTGAGTGAGTATATTGCACAGTGATTATTGCACAGTTGAATATAAAAATATATATATTTCAAATATTGCACAGTGTAAAAAAACACTACAGCTCAGTTGTTCTAGCCCTCCTTTGTCCCCCCGTTTCCCCTCCCTCTCCCCTCCAGTGAGGAGTTTAATACAATAATGCAATTCCTAGAAGATCCTACTAGTAATCCTAGTAGTAAGTCTCTACTAGTAATTACCGGCCTATTTCAAAATTGCCATTTATAAGCAAATTACTAGAAAAAATTGTAGAAAATTAATTCAGGTCCTTAAGGCAGATTACAGATTGTTGACCCTTTTCAATCTGGCTTTCAAAAGCAGAACTCCACTGAGACTGCTCTCTTAAGGGTCTATAATGATCTGTTAATCCCTTCTGATGCAGGGAATTGTTCTGTGATCATTTTGCTTGATCTCAGTCCAGCCTTTGATACCACTGACGACAAAGTCCTACTTAACAGACTGAAGGTTTTGGCTGGTATATATGGATCTGCTTTAGACTG